AGAGAGAGAGAGAGAGAGAGAGAGAGAGAGAGAGAGAGAGAGAGAGAGAGAGAGAGAGAGAGAGAGTCTCAGATAGATAGATAGATAGATAGATAGATAGATAGAGAGATAGAGAGATAGAGAGAGAGAGACAGACAGGGAGAGACAGAGACAGAGACAGAGAGAGACAGAGAGAGAGAGAGACAGAGAGAGAAAGAAAGCCTGTGGCAAAGAGAACCACAGTAGCATCATCCACCACATTTCCCTGTTTTGGATTCATCCGCAGTGACCCCTATAAACACCAACTCTCCCTATGGACAAAGCGAGCCTGTGCGGTGTCCGAGTCACAACTGTTACAATCCGCGCTGATTTTTTATACGTATGAGTAGAACAGCTTGTGGAACTCCAAGATCGACTCGCGCGGAAAAATGGCTGAAAGACCCCCCGACAACCCCAACAAACCTCGATCTGCAAATTGATAAGGCAATCTCCGACTCGTGCGCTGGCAGCGTCGACACATAAACGTGCGAATCGCAAAGCACGCCGAGACACGAGCATGCCAACAACCAAACTACGACCATGGCTGTTAGACCCCCCTTTTACCCCAAAAACCACGAAAACGGACCCGGGCACTTGCACCGTCGGCCACCCCCACAAACGCCTACAAGGCAAAACTCAAGGCGAGCACTTTTGGGCACCCAAAGGTCTCTGGCAGCAGACCACATGCGAAATTCGAGGCCGTTCAAAAGGGCAGCAAGATTTACGCCGACCTCGAAGTCCTCCGGGTTCCGAAATCGGCGGTCACGAGAGTGGCGAGGAACCGGTTTCCGGGCGGCACCCCCCGTATGGAAATGGGTGCTCAGCGGGTCCGCAGAAGGAACGTCATGAGTTGGTGCACGAACGTCCCGCACTGCTGTTGCTTTGAAATGTCTATTACACGAGAGCACACACAAAACAAAGGCTAGTCGGAGGTGGACTGAGTTAGAAACTTGCGCAGCGCGGCCCCTAATCGACCCCTATAAAGACCGATTCTCCCCGTCGACAAAGCGAGCTCGAGAAGTGTAACAGTCACAAATCTCGCAACCCGCTATGGTATTAATAATCACCATCAGAACAGCATGTGGCACTGCAAGCTTTACGCGACATGGAGACGTTTAACATGACCAAGCGTGGTAGACCCCCCTGCAACCCCAACGGATTCCGAATCGTCCAGTCGGCAAGGCGAACTTTAATTTGTGCGCTGTCAACGTCGACATATGACATCGGGAACCGCAAACCATGCCGACACACGGCCTGTCAGCAACCAGATTGCGCACATCTCGATGATGACACCGCATGGCGGGCAAGGCAGACCGACGGCAAAACGAAAATCTACCGGGCAACTGAAACAATGGGCAACCCCTTAAACCCCTGCAAGGCAATTGTCAAGGCGAGGACTTTTGCGCATCCAAAGGTCTCTGGCAACGAAGAGACATGTGATAGTCAAGGCCGTTGAACAGGGCGGTTAGATTTGCGCGGAACCTCGAAGTCCGTCGGGCTCTGAATTTGGCGGTTGCTGGAGTGGCGAGGAACCGGTTTCTGCGCGTCGCCTCGCACATCGAAACGGTCGGAGAGCGGGTGCACAGAAGGAACACTTTGAGCGGGTGCACGGAAGGAAGGCCCAACTGCTGCTTCCAAATGTTTGTGTACCAGAGTACGGGCGAAAGAAAGGGTAGCCGTAGGTGCACAACGTTATAAACTGGCGCAGCGCGGCCCCCAATGGACCCCTCTAAACACCGATTCTCCCCATCCACAAAGAGAGCTCGTTCGTCGTTCGTGTCACAAATCTCGCAGCCCGCGGGCACCCCATTTTCTGCGCGGTGCGGAAACGAGAAGTATGACCATGCCTGGCAGACCCCCCTGCAACCGCAACGGACCCCGATCCGTCCAGTTGAGAAGGCGAGCCCCGATTCGCGCGCTGTCAACATGGACTCAGGACAGCGCGAACTTCAAACCACCCCGAGACATGGGCAAGGCAGACCGACACCAAAACTGAAACGGACCAGGCAACCACCACCGTCGGCAACCACCTTAAACCCCTGCAAGCTATGTATCCCCCGAGGCCGCGGTCACCGCGGGCACGACCGCGGCCCATGCGGTCGACCGCGGGCCCGCGGTCAGGACCGTGGCGGCCGCGGTCGAAAAAGGCGTGCCGCGGTCGAGGGGAGGGGTGTACCCGAGGTCGGGGTCGGGATTCCGGGGGCGCACCCGAGGCCCCACCCTCCCAAATTGAAAAAAAAAAAAAATAAAAAATAAATGGGGGGTCCATTTTAGAGGGGGGGAGGTAAATAATGGACCCCCTTTCATTG